AAAAAAGAAAAAGGGAAAAAAAAAATCATTTTTTATATATATATAAACTGGATGGATGAATAGCATTGAATGAATGAGAGTATATTGACAAATGCCAAAGTGGCAAACCAAGATCTCATTTGACTTATTAGCTCATTTAGCTGTCAAGTGCTCAGATTCTGTGTTGAGGATGACTCTCAGCTAACATACACATTTTGAGCTCATTTATAGATATTTTATTTTAAGATGGCCACAGTCGATTAGCTGTGGTAGACATTTTCGAATTGGGATAACTCTAAAAGGTTATCTGTTGTAAATGTACGTATATCCATTGATTACTTCCCGAGTGTTAAGAAATTTGTTTGCAGGTTTAAGATACTTTGCTAACAGACAGATACAGTACATGCAGATGGACAGACATGACTGCTTACATTTTATTGTGGTGGCAATAATGATTATAACACAATTTTTGCCTGGAAGTCAAGTTTAAAATTAAGTGCAATTATTAAGTTCAAGTTCAAGTTTATTTAGATAGCACCAAATCACAACATATGTTGTCTCAGGGCACTGTAGATAAAAAAGAATAATCTAAAGAAGAAACCAGCAGGCTGTGTTGAATCACTTCATCACAGTCTCCCATTTAATCTACATATTAATGGAGATTAAAAATCTAAATTTCTCTGCAAATGTGTTTTCATACAGATTATTAGAGTATCATCTGCATAAATGAAAAAAAAAACACTTGTACAGGCTCCTTACAAAATTATCTTTGTAGCAGAAACTATAGCTTATAAAATATTGAGTATAACAATGTTTAATACCTGCACTGTAATTTAGGTCTGTTTTTGTTTTCCCATTTGTTTTAAAAGCCATTTGAAGGATGAACTAAGCATGTTTCCTGATTATTAACCCCAGGAAAACACAGGTACAAGGGAACATATTCTGTAGATACTGGGTAACACAGGTATGGACCCCTTATAAAACTCCCAGGGCTACTTTAAAGTTAGTCTTTCAATTCTTAATTTATGTTTTGAAGTGCTGCTGAAAAGTGCTTGAACAATCATCAATGCTGTACCAGTGGGATACAAGTTGTATGCATGGTTTGCTTCAAAGAAAGCACCCTGAGTGGAGAGAAGCAGGTCTGATAAATCTGTGTCATTGACTGTCTGTCTCACATCGCTGCCCTGAGCATTATGCTGCAGAGACACAGAAGAATGAAAGGGAAAGTGCCCAGGGCTGTATGTGCATTATGTATGGAGGGGGCAGTGGAGTGTCATCTTATTCATTTATTAATGACACCGGAAGGAGATACCTGCTGAATATAATGAATATGGATTGAAGATCCAGTCTGTTGAAGAAATATGAAATGACATAATATGTATCCTTAAAAATTGTCTGAGAGAGATTTTATATTTAATTATTTTTTTCTGTTTTTTTCATTATTGTTAGAATTTCTTTCGATGTAAAAAGGTGCAGATATTAAAAGATTTTTTTCTTCCTTCTGCAGCCTTTCATTTTATTTTTCATTTGTATTTTTTATACTGAATATGCTTTGTTTTTTAATGAAATGAATGAATAAACTAAAAAAAGATTGAATACTTGACTTAAACATTAAGAGTTATATGTGTGTGTGCGTGTGTGTGTGTGTGTGTGTGTGTGTGTGTGTGTGTGTGTGTGTGTGTGTGTGTGTGTGTGTGTGTTTATTTTGTGACTAATTAGGATTATGGTTGTTTGAACACAGAGGGGGAACAAGGAGTGAAAGCTAATCCTTTGCAAAGAATACAAATAATTCAGTATATCATTCTGGGAGAGGACAACTGATCAGTCCCAAAGGAGGTCAGATCATTGTGGACATGGACCTCAACAGAATCGTAATGGCAGCTGTGGTCAGGCTCCAGCCTGAGTGATGAGCACAGCAGTTATGTGAAGTATTGATAAAATAATGTTTTTTTACAACACTGGATGATTACATCATCGGGTGAAATAAATTTATTGTGTCTAAAGCTTGTAATCCTTGCTTCTTGAATCTACAATTTAAAGTTCAATTTTGTTTCATTTTAGCACCAGCTCACAAAAGTTGTTACAAGGTGCATTATTAAAAAAAGCAACATGTCCACATAATATCAAATTAGACATAATATAATTCAGTCCAAAACAAATCTAGATTCATCCATCATTAATACAGTATTTACCTGCTTCTTCCTCTCCAGGCCACTACTGTCCATGTTCAGCAGTCACTGTAGGCATTCTTGCATTGTAAGGCTTGGCATTTGCCCAGTCCGGTCGGTCCGACATTACTCTACTCCAGCCCTGACTGTGTTTTGTTTGAGCAGAGAACCACCTCGATGTGGGCCGGGTCAACATATTAAACACGTGCAATCTTGTTTTGTCATATTTGCAACCAAACAATGAAGAACTTCACCAAACTCTAAGGAAAAATACATTGCATAGAACCGGACCATCCAGCAGTATGACGCTTATGATGAGAGAGCAGTACGGCAGGGAATGGTAAGCTAATGTTAGCTTATAGCTTGTGGTTGTTTGGTAGATCTGTTGTTGTGTAGAGCAATTAAAAAAAACATTACAGTCGCTGCAAACATTTCACATAAGGTTGCTCTCAACTGATGTAACCCCCAGTGAACCAATCAATGAGCAGCGGTAGCTGACGTGAAATCAGACCAAGCACCCACAGATTGGAACCACAGCTCCTGAGGTTCCAGAAATCAAGGTGGACCTGCCATAAGGGCTAATGCAAAAATGCAGAATGAGCTGGGTCAGGCCATGCAGTGCAAAAATGCTTTGTGCAAGGCACAGTGTATTTGGACTGGTTGAAATCCATAACAGGGCCAAATACAGACAAACAACCACACCTAGAGACTACTTTGAGTTACCATTTAGTCTTATGCTGCGTTCACACCAAACGCGTTTTGAGCGGCCAAAAAGCGCAAAACGTCTCTCACTGGACGCTCTATAGAACGCACTAGTGTTCAGACCAGAACAAGCAGCGGCAGCAGCGA